ATATCGGATAATGTGCTAATATCCAGAATGTATAAAGAACTTGTATAGCTCAATTAAAAAAAAAAAAAAAACCTCTTAAAAGTGGACAAAAGACTTGAATAGACATTTCTCCAAAGAAGATATACAAGTGGCCAACAGGCATATGCAAAGATGATCAACATCACTAATTGTCAGGGAAATGCAAGTCAAACCCCAATGAAATATCATTTCACATCCATTAGGATGGTCACTATAAAAATACAAATTAAAAAATTAAAAAAAAAAAAACAGAAGAAAATACAGCAAGGTGTGGTTCACACTTGTAATTCCAGCTACTCAGGAGGGGATGCTAAGGCAAGAGAGTCACTTGAGGCCAGGAGTTAGAGATCAGCCTGGGTAACATGAAGAGAACGTGTCTACGAAAAATAAAATTAGAACAGAAAATAATAAGTGTTAACAAGGTTGTGGAGAAATTGGAACCCTTGAACACCATTGTAAAATGGTACAGACACTACCCAAGGGAATGTAAACTGGTGTAGCTGCTATGGAAAATAGGATGGAGGTTCCTCAAAAAATTAAAAATAGAACTACTATATGATTAAACAATCTCACTTCCAGGTATATAGCCAAGCAAATAGAAAACAGGATCTCAAAAAGATACTGGCAAACCCATGCTTATAGCAGCATCATTCAAGGGGTAGAAGCAAATTTAATGTCCATCAAGGGATGAATGGATAAAGAAAATACGGTATATACACACAAGGACATATTATTCAGCTTTAAAAAAAGAAGGAAATACTGTCACATGTTACAAAGTTGATGAACCTTGAGGACATTATGCTAAGTGAAATAAGCCAGTCACAAAAAGTCAAATATTCCATGATTCTACTTATATGACTGTCTAAAATAGTCAACTCATAGAAACAGAAAGTAGAATGCTGGTTGTCAGGGACTGCGAGGAGGGAAAAGGAAAGAGTTGTTCAGTGGGTGTGGAATTTCAGTCATGCAGGATGAGGGGGATGTTCTGGGGATCTGTTGCACAACAATGTGCATGTGGTTGACAATATTGTACTGTACACTTGAAAATTGTTGGAAGGATGAAGTTTATGTTGTGTGGTTTTTGGCACAAAAATTATTTTTTTAAAAGTTAATGAGTCAGAAGTCTGCTGAACCCAGCCTAATAGAAGAGGGGATAAATAAGCTATGTAGCCATTAAAATAATTATATATATGCATATGTATGATACACACACATATATATATATAAGAATCTCAGATATTATGAAATGAAAAAAGCAACATGCAGAACTGAGTATGATTTCTTACTATTCGCGTAAAGAAGCAGGCAGGTATATGTCTATGAATGCTTGTATGAGCATAGACTCTTCTGAAAGATACCTAAGAAACTGGTTACACTGGTTGCCTGGGGGTCAAGCATAGGAGGAAGTATTTAACATTGCATATGCTCTTTTGTATTGTTTAAGTTTTTTATAATGTTCATGTATTACCTTTTCAAAAACAATTATGAGCAAGGAGCCTGGAGACAGAAAGTAAAGTGGAGGTCACCAGGAACTGAAGGGAGAGGAAATGAGGAATTATTATTTAAAGAATGCAGAATTTCTGATTGGGATGATGAAATAATTCTGAAAATAGTGTTATGCAACATTGTGAATGTACTTAATGCCACTGAATTTTACACTCAAAAATAGTTAAAATAGTAACTCTTGGCTGGGTGCAATGGCTCACGCCTGTAATCCCAGCACTTTGGGAGGCCGAGGCAGGCGGATCACAAGGTCAGGAGATCGAGACCATCCTGGTCAACATGGTAAAACCTCGTCTCTACTAAAAATACAAAAATTAGCTGGGCGTGGTAGTGTGTGCCTGTAATTCCAGCTACTAGGGAAGCTAAGGCAGGAGAATTGCTTGAACCAGGGAGATGGAGGCTGCAGTGAGCCGAGATCACACCACTGCGCTCCAGCCTGGTGACAGAGTAGGACTCTGTCTCAAAAAAAAAAGATAAATTTTATTTTATGTATATTTACCACCATAGAACAAATCAAAAAAATAAAAGGAGGAGGTCTACAGAACAAGTACAGATTATTCTATTTTGTAAGAAAACAGATATAGTCTGGACACAATGGCCCATGCCTGTAATCCTAGCACTTTGAGAAGCCAAGATGGGAGGATTACTTGAGCGCAGAAGTTCGAGACCAGCCTGGGCAACATAGTGAGAACGTGTGTCTTTTTATTTTTACAAAAAAAATAAAATAAAAAAAGAAAACAGACACATATATATATGTCGGCAAATGCATAGAAAAGAACCTATAAGGGGCCGGGCACAGTGGCTCACTCCTGCAATCCCAGCACTTTGGGAGGCCGAGAGCAGCACAGAGCCCAGTCTGTTCCAGAAGGAAAACCACAAAAGGATGGTTTTGTTGTGTAAGAGATTCTGCAGAAGGGGACCTTCCTACTAGTTGTCTGAAATCCAGAGGTTGACCAAAGGCTTTTCTAACCAGAAGTTCCAGACCAGCCTGGCCAACACAGCGAAACTTTGTCTCTACTAAAAATACAAAAACTAGCTGGGCATGGTGGTGGGCACCTGTAATCCCAGCTATTTGATAGGCTGAAGCACGAGACTCATTTGAACCCGGGAGACGGAGGTTGCAGTGAGCCGAGATCACACCATTGCACGATTGCACTCCAGCCTGGGCAAGAGAGTGAGATTCTGCCTCAAAAAAAGAAAAGAAAAGAACCTGTAAGGAGCATCCTCTAAACAGTGTGGGCCTGGAATTGGGGTGGGTGTTTGAAAGGATATTTCCATTTCGATTCTACTTATTTTTTAACTGTTTGAATATTCTGCAATGACACTTTCTTTTGTAGTTTGAAAAAAAAATTTAAGGTATGTCTCCAAAAAGAAGTTGAACCCAAAGTTCAGTCAGAAGTCAATTGATCTCTAAAAATTCTTCAATCTCACTTTGTGTGATCTCCACAGAGAGCTGGAGAGTTTTCTAAAAATGTGAAGAAGTGATCTCTTTCATTATGGACATACCTGAACAAAGCAAGCTAGCTCTTAGCAAAACAGGCAGTAAAGAAGATTTGCTTTTAATGACCTTAACCGTCCATTAGAAATCATCTTAGCCTTCACTTGTTAGCAGTCTCCCTTTCACCTGAGCTGCCAATGCTTTCAAACTAGTCTCTAGCTTACCAGAGCTCTATACTGAGCTCCAGAACCCTATCTTCCCTCTCCAAGCATCAGTCCATGTTCTGGACATTTCCTTTCCCTTGTCAAAACTTAACTACTTCTGGCTCGTTTTCACAAAGGACCTTACTAAATGATTAAGGAATTCAATCAACCAATTTTAGCTAACTGTTAATAGCTTCATTTGTCTCCCTATTAGTAGATAATATTTTAATTTTAACACAGGCCTTCAATGTATTAATTCAAAGGAATGACTAATAGCGTATGTGGGTGGGGATGATGGGGTGGGGAGGGGAGATTTTGCTAATCATATCACATAAGCAGCTGCTTTGAA